TGGGACCCTTCAGTCAGCAGACCGACGCTCTACCACTGAGCCAAACCGGTTTCGGCTGCCTCTATCTATTTTTGTTCAACAGTTTGTAATGTTCTTTATAATCCATAAATGAGTGAGATCATGTGGTGTTTATCTTTCACTGACTGACTTATTTCACTTATTAGCATAATGCTCTCCAGATCCACCCATGCTGTTGCTATTTTAGCTTTCTCTGCTACCACTGATATATCCTCAGAGTGTCAGGAGTAAGGCTTCCCATTTTATCTTCCATATCTTCTGGAAGTTTCCTGCCTCTTTGCCTCCTCTGTGATGCATTGTGGGGAATGTCCCAGTAATGCCTTCCAGGTCCCTAGCTCCTCCTCCATCTGTGCCTGGATCGGCTCTTTACCCCACTGACCGAGGCCTGGCGGCCCACACCGTCTTTTCTCTCCGAAGGTAGCTGTTCCTTAATAATCAGCCCTGTTGATTGGTCATTTCTGTTGCAGCTGCTGTGTTCTAGTTCTAATCAGTTCATTATCTTGGCTCTCAGAATCTATTAGGAGTTTTTCTCTGTTTACTTTCTATCAATTATAGTGACTTGCTTTTTGGTTCCACTGGGGCTTTTGGGTGCACTCATGGCTTGAATTTGATTGGTGGGAGGCCTGAGACCCCACTGGGAGTTGGGGAAGCTTCCTGCAGGAGAATCCATCTGCTCTTCCCTGGTGTCCAGGGACACCGCTGCTGGGAGGGCCCGTTGAGCAGGAGAGCGCCAGGCTGTCTTCTGCACTCTGCTCTGGCCCACGCTCAGCAGCAGCCCCAGGGGCCCTGCCCTTCCAGCTGCTCACATAGTTGGCCTGACCCCAGTGCCTCTGCTCCAGGCCAGTTCAATGCTTTTGTTTGCTTATTTGTGAAAGTGGGAGGAAGTGAGAGCTCTCCCGACCTCTTATGGAATGTCAGTGTCTCAGATGGTGTTTCCGCCCGGGGTCAGGGTCCAGCAGAGTGTGTAGCGGTGGGGGAGGGAGTGGGAGGTCCTCTCAGAGCGCCTGGGCAGACCCAGTGCCCAAGGCCGCCTCTGGGTTATGCCTCTACACATCCTTTTCTGCAGTCTTAGTGGAGTGTGGACAGACGTGGGGTTAGATGTGAGTGTTCAGTCCACCATCTCTGCCAGGACACCCCTCCCATTACTTCTCAATGTCCCACCCCTACCTTCTTACCCCCCAATGCCACCAGCTGATCCGCCCTGCCCTGGTCACGTGCTTGGTGTTGCTGAGCACGGAGGACCATTGCCATGAACCTCCCTTTCTCCTGTATTTAGCACTGCAGATCACTTCTGCCTCCTCCTCAACGTGCCAGCTCTGGGTCCCACCCCTGCTGGGCCCAGCCAGCAGCCCCTCGAAGCCCAGGGCACACATTCCCAGCCTGTGCCAGAGACCTGCAGGTATCACAGTAGACGCTGGGACAATCACGTTTGGCCCTTCAGCCACCCAGTGCATGGTGCACCCTGAACCCACCTGTGCCTCGGAGTGTACCTGTCCTCACTCATTCCCTCACTCTCCCTGGGCTGACCCAGGCAGCCAAAACCTTCCTGTACTGAATGTTGTGACTAGGGTCAACACCACCACCATCATCTTCACCACCATCACATTGTCACCATCATCATCACCACTGTCACCGTCATCAACACATTGTCACTGTTATCCTCCCACAACCATCACTATTATCATCACGGTCACCATCATCATCACTCTTACCATTATCACCGCCATCATCACCATCATCACCACCATCACCACCGCTGTCCTGTCATCATCACCATCATCGCCACCACTGTCACCATCATCATCACATTGTCACTGTTATCCTCACCACCACCATCACCTTCACCATTATCATCCCTGTCACCATCATCATCACCATCACCATCATCACCACCACTGTCACCGTCATCAGCACCTCCATCATCACCACCACTGTCACCGTCATCATCATTACCATCATCATAACCAGCATTCCTACTATCATCATCACTGTCACTGTCATCACCATCACCGTCACCACCACCACCATCATCACTACAGCACCAGCACCAGCACCATCGTCACCACTCTTCTCCAGAGCTGAGCACAGTGTAATGCAAGATTCCTTTACTGTTTACTTCCATCCTCTGCCTCCCAAATCTCCGTGCCTTAACAGGACAAAGGTTGTATCTAAGTTGGCTGCAGGCTCAAGGCACTCTCCAGGGGGCCCGGGGTTGGGGTCCAGCAGAGTGTATAGCCTCAGTGTGTTAGCTCCAGGAGGCACCTGTGAAGGCGCCTTTATGTTGTTGCACGCTTTGGGGTCTGGAGCATCTGACATGAGCAGTAAAAGTTCTGGCCCCAATGACACTTGTCACTTCTCCCCCTGCCCCAGAAGGAGGGATTGTATTGCCCTGAATAGAGCACATGGTCCTGGGAGACCTGCCTGCCTGCCGGGCTGTCAGGTATAGTCTGTCAAGTCTGTGCTTGGTTCTGTGGAGTGCTCTCAAGTTCGCTCTCTGGCTACATAACACGGTCACGTGCTCAGTCACGTCCTCCCCGTGACGATCCGCACCTGGGCACGGTGGGTCTGACTGCAGTTTGCTGTTCCCTCTATTTGGGGGTCCTGCTGACTCCCGTGTGTCCGTGCGTTTAGACTGTGAATTCAGGTTACAGCGGGAATTCTGTGTCCCGAGTCCACGGCAGGGTCTCCGGGGAGGACTTGTGCTCAGGCCTTCAGGACCCTCAGGGCGGCACCAGCCCAGGAACTTTCAAGCAAAACTTTTAACGGGTGTTTCAGCTCCTGCCTTGTGTGAGCAGGGGCTGACATTCAGGGATTTTCAGGGACAGCTTTCTTCTCTGCAGAGCCACGTGCAAGAGAGGCCGAGCCCTCGCAGGGCCAGCTGTTTGCTCGCTCTTCACTCGGGGGGAGGGGGGCGCTGTGAGGTGAGAGCCTCGACATCCCAGGCCAGCAGGGCGTCCAGGGTGGAGTCTGGCTCCTGTGTGCGCTGTGCTTACCCAGCGGCTGCTGGCTGTTCGGCCTGGGAGGAATTCTGTGCTTCTGCCGCTTGGTCAGGGCATTACTTTTTTAAAAAAAATTTTTAATTTTAATTTTAATTTTTAATATATTTTATTGAATTTTTACAGAGAGGAAGGGAGAGAGATAGAGAGCTAGAAACGTCGATGAGAGAGGAACATCGACCAGCTGCCTCTTGCACACCCCCCACCGGGGATGTGCCCGCAACCAACGTACATGCCCCTGACTGGAATCGAACCTGGGATCTTTCGGTCCGCAGATCAACGCTCTACCACTGAGCCAAACCAGTTTTGTCGGGGCATTACTTTTTAAAAGGGTGTCTCATTTTGTCTCTATCTTATGTGCTCATTGTCAGACTCGGGCAAAAAGGACGAGGAGCATGGAGTCTCTGCTCATTTAACAAGCATTTGCCGTGTCTGCCACGTGCCCAAGCAGTGCTGTGTGACTGTCAGCACGTGGGTGCCCTTCACCCTAAACCGTTCGCTAGGAGCCTGCAAGGCCAGCTCCTAGGGGCAAGGGTGCCCGTGAGCAGACACCCATCACGGAGCCTGAGGAGCCTGGCCAGTACCCCTCCCTGGGGAGCGCTGTCAGGAAGCGTCTCTGAGGGGAGTCCCAAGATTACATGCCCAGAACATTCCGCAGAACAGTGCCTCCTCAGGGACACTGCCAGTCTGTTAGCAGCACTTCCAGGCGTGAGCGCGTGTTTAAGGCACTTGCTGGGCCTTCACCCGCCCTCCCCCCAAACCCCAGGCCTTCAGCAAAATGGTCATCGGCAGCTGCTTTCCCTCCTTCCGCCCCAAGGCCGAGGGTCAAGGTGACCTTTGGGGATCGGAATCCGGAGAGAGGAATGGGGCCAAGGAGGGGGGTGTCTGCAGAGGTTGGAAAGGCTCTGAGGTCGAGTTTGCAGGAAGGCCTGTCAGGGAGGGGAAGGGGCATCTCCCAGCCAGGAACTGGCTGTGTCAAGGGGGAGCGGAGCCCCTGTTCCTGAGCGGGCCAGAAATACGGCCCCTGGGTCCTGGAAGGCATAAGGGGGCCTCCCTGGGGGAGGGGGGGCTCTCTCCAACTCCTGGCTGCAGGATGGGTGAGAGAGGAGCCCAAGCAGGAAGAATAAAGGCCTGAAAGTGTCTCCATCTCCCGCCGTCCTCTGAGGCCCAGCCCAGCCTCCACTCCGCTCCCTGGGGCGTCCCTGAGGGGTCCATGCTGGTAGCACAAGGTTTCGAACCCCCAACCTCAGACAAGAGCCAGGGCAGGCAAGCGGTAAGCCGTCAGGGTCATCTCTGAGGTGGGGGCCTGGGGAGGGGACTGCAGATGTGCAGGGAGCCTGGCACCATGATTTCATGCTCTCACGCTGTGTGCTCTTCAAGGAAGTCTGGGGGAGACCCTGCTCGGGGCAGGTGGGCGGCCCTTGTCTGCCCTCGTGCAGTGCCCGCCAGGCGATGGCCACCAATGTCAGGAGTCATAGTCTTTATTCAAGTGCAAGATCAGTCATGTGACAATGCCAGGTGAGATCCGCATCCTGACCCCTTTTTATCTCCTATGGTGTCACTGCTTGGATGCCAGGAGCAGCCAGTGCCCGGACAGCCTTGCTCTGAGGAGCAGGCATGGTGGGGGCTCCTGTGCCAGCGGCGCCCGGGCACCAGGACCGAGGTATTTCACAGCCAGCTCGTGCGGCTCGCGCTCCTGGGCCGGGGCGGGTGGCTGTCCTGCAGGGCACCCAGCCAGGCATTGTGCACGGAGAACCACGGCCGCACGGCGGCGTACGTGCCGGACGTGGGTTAGAGCAGACGTGTGCGTCTCCACACGAGCGGACCTTAGGACGTGGGGCCGCAGCCACGAGGGGGACTTGCAGGAAGGAGACGCTTCTCCGGATGCCCCTTCGGCCCGCGGGCGCTGTGCAGAGCGGCCGCTCGGAGTGCGGCTCAGAGGTGGAGCTGCGCTCGGCCTGCTCGCTGAGCCGCCCAGCCCAGGGCTCACACACAGTTGTCAGGGACGCACTGGGCCTCCTCTTGCAGCGCGGGGCAGGGTGCCCCGTGGTTGGCGGGCTGCACGCGGACATAGCGCGTCCGGATCCTGGCTCCCCTCTTCCCGCACAGGCCCTCGCACAGCCCCCAGGATGACCAGAGGGAGACCTCGCAGTCCAGCGGCGTCTCTGGAGCTGGACCAAGCACAGAGGGCCCGTGAGCGCGGGGAGGAGGAGCTGGTGGCAGAAGGGCACCCCGGGGTGGTCACCCGTGAGCCCAGCTCCAGACTGCGGAGTGGAGAGGAAGAGCCTTCGCAGTGTGGCTCAGTCCATGACAAGAAAGGCCACCCACCCTCCTAAGGAACCACGGAGACGACCTGGCTTAAAGCTCCTCCCCACAGGCAGCGTGGGGACCACATTCCTGGGGAGGGACCCCTGCTGTGAACCCAGTCACTGACCCGCACTCAGCAGCGCCTGGCACAGGTATCCCGCCCCCGTGGGCAGGGCCACCTCCACGTCTGCCGTGGAGGGCACAGAGGGGTCCACTTAGTGAAGCCCTTCCCGTCTGTCGTCTTCTGGGGGGCTGGGCCTCCCTCCCATCTCCTTTCGGCTGCACTTACCAACGTAGGTAAGTTTAGAGCTTGAATCAGCCAATCACCACGTCTCCCAGAATTCTAGTGATTTTCACAGAATGCTCTGAACCGCCAAACCCCAAGTTGTCCTGCCTCAAATGCTTGGAACCCCCAAAACCCCATCTTCTCGCATCACCTGCTGTGAACCACCAGGACCCCGGAGATTTGTGCTGAAACCTAAGCTCGGGGCCCTGGGCTGCCTGAGCATCGGTGGCCTCTCCCTGGTGTGACTCCCTCCCTGCCCCTGGTGTTGCTGGGGTCGAGGCCCAGCCTGGTGGTGGGCAATCCCCCACCAAAGCCTGGCTTAGAATGGGGTGCACTTCATGGCAGGTTGGAGTGCTACAGGGGAACACCATGGGGGTGGACAACGTGACCTGGCCCCTGGACCGTCACTCCCTGTGGGGTCACGTGGGCGGCTGGCCTTGGGAGAGTAAGGGGTGTGAGGGGGTGTTATTGCCACTTCAGACAGTCCCTCTTGGGACAGTGCTTCAGAGTTACTCTTGGGTGAGAGGTGAGGCCGGTGCAGGGCTGGGTGTCGGCGCCGCCGTTGCTGTGAAAGCTGAGCTCAGCCTGTGTGACACGCTCACCGAGTGGTTCTCGGCCCCTGGCGCCAGTGGTGGCGTGGCGGCTCCCGCGGGCTGGGCACTTGGCCAGGAACACGCGGTTGAGGGCAGGGAGGGCGGTAGTGGGGGTGGGACTGGGCTTACCCGAGAGGCCGTCCCCGATCTCGTTGCCCCTGCCGGCCAGGTCTATGGCGGGAGGCACGAAGGCCCTGGGGCTCTGCCGGAGACGCACCAGGGTCACCCTGGCGATGGGGGGCAGGGCCTTCAGCCGCGGGTAGTAGAAGGAGTTTGCCGGGTGGCTGGGAGAGGAGGAGGTGATCTGGGGAGACGGAAGAAGGGCTGTCAGCTCGGCCGGAGGCCCAGGAGCCCACCTGCACCTGCTGTGGGCTTGGCCCAGGTGGGAGCCACAGGGCAGCGTGGACACACACCCACTGGCCTTTGCGGCCCTTCAGGGCGCCGGGCTCATGATCCGGGGAAGGGACCAGGAAGGCCTGGCCGCCTCCGGGCCCTCACCTCGTTACCCACCCCCCATCCTGCACACCCCTGTTCACCGTGACCCCACGGACAGGATGCTGTCCCAACAAGAGACAAAGCTGGGAAACAGGAGCTGCCCCGAGTGGCCAGCGCTGTGACCGCCTCCCCGACCCTCACCTCGGTCACTGTGTCCTGCGGAATGGTCGCGAAGTTGGGGGAGGAGAAGGTGAAGCCGCTGTCTGTCCCCGCGTCATGTGGGGAAAGGTCCACGGAGACCTGCTCCCTCCAGCGGTTCCCATCACACAGGTCCAGGCTGTCGACGCCCACAAACCAGTCGGGGCTGGGGACAATCCGGACCACAAAGGACACCTGGGGGGGAGGCAGGGGCTCAGCAGGGTAGCCGCCACGCCCACGCCTCTGCCCTGCCCACCGTCTGCACCTACCAGTGAGTGCCGGGCGTGCACCTCGAACTCCGTGGAGGTGTGCCCCATGCCGCTGGGCACGGCGGGTGCCGAGAACACCTCGTGCACGCTCTGCAGCTTCTCGCCGGCCGCCTCGATCTCCCGCATCAGGGCCCAGGCCTCGCCCCGCTCCGCGAAGTCCCGCAGCCCGTTGCTGGCGTACTGGTCCTCCCGCCACATGCTGTAGTCGGCGCTGTGCGCTGCCCCTGTGGGCCGATGCTGCATGAGCAGCCGCCCCACGAGAGTGCACCCCATTCCCTGCCCCCCTCCATTACATGGGGACGCCCTGGGGCCTCACGCTGCCCGGAGACACTGCTGGTGACCAGCTCGGTGGCCGTCCTGCCTCCCACCCAGAGCCCCTCCATCACTGGCCAGCATGCAGTCGACATCCAGCAAACACAGCCGGCACCGAAGTGAGTTGGATTGGAGCGCCCCCAAACTGTGAGGTTGGTGCCGCTGCCTGGTGCCGTCCCCCTGCGTGGACGTGCCAGGCAGGGGCAGGGCTGCGCTTACCCAGCAGGGAAGACCATTGTGCGGGCGGCCGGAACAGTGGGTACTGCTTAGGAAAGGCCGTCTGGCTCCACTTGCCCGTGAAGGTGATGCGGTACTTGGCCAGGGGCCGGGCCGTGCACACGGAGTCTCCCCGCAGCGGCTGGCCGGCTGCGGTGCCAAGTGTGGCCAGGAGGAGAGCCCAGAGGGCCCTACCCTGGGCGGCGGCCGGGGTCCGGGTGTCCATCACCTAGAAGAGGGGTGAGCTCCACAGGCTGCACAGCTGCTCCCCAGACTCCCTGCTGCGTGCCAGCCCAGACAGGCACTTCAGTGACAGCCTGAGCCGCCCCCGCCCTGCTCCACCTCTGCCTCCGCTCGGGCTTGGCCTGGCCCCCATTCTGGAAGGTGGAAGCTGGATGTGCAGGTTGTGTGTCTAGGAACCTAGGGTGCCCGGCAGGTTTGGGGCGCTGGCGCCCAGGCGTGGCATCCCCAGTTATATACTCTGGTGTTGCCGTCCGAGGGAACCCAGAACCTGGAGGTCAGCCTTTGGACTCACTGTGCCAGAACTGCGTGGCCAACCCGGGCCTCCCTCCGGGGTGCTGCGGGTTTCGGTCCGGGGGTGGGGAATGCCGGGAGTTGGGGTCAGAGGCGCACACGAGGTACTCACCCAGAGGAGCAGCAGGAAGGCAGGCAGCTGGGCTGTGGCCTGGGATGGTCCCCGCAAGAGCCCAGCGCTCCAATTTGTGCTGAGGATGGCACCCGGCTGGCCAGCGGCCCGGGTCCCCACTGCGGCCGGTGGAGCGCAGACGAGAAAGGGACTGTGCCCCGCAGCTGCCCTGGCCGCCGGCTCTGAGGCTGAGAGGCTGCTCCGGCGCTGAGGTCACTCTGCTCTGGTCGGGTGCCTGCCAGTTGCCGCACCCCTCTCTTTGTCTTCCCCTCCTCCCGGCCTCCCGCCCTCTCCTCTCCCTGCTGCTCTCTGCTTTCCCAACAGGCCTTCCCAGTGTCTCTGGAGGTGGTGCCAAAGCCAGCGTGTTGCCGCTGCAGCCGCAGCCTGCTGGTGGTGGGAGTGCCGGGGCCAGGCTGCGAGAGGGGCCTGGGGCGCCGCTTGCTTAGAACACAGCCGTCTCCTTCGCATCCAGCTGCCCAGAGCTGGGTGGGCGCCGTGCTCAGAACCTCCCTCCCTCAGGGCTGCCGGGTCCCTCGGGGCAGGAGGCGCCCGTCCCTGACCCACAGAGGGACAGAGGTCAGGGGTGCTTGGCACGCAGGATGTGGCTGTCAGATCCCAGTCTGTGTCTGCTCACTGTCAGGAGAATGTTCCTAGGACCGAGCCACAGGCCTGGCAGCGGGCAGAGGGCAGGATGGTCTCGTGCCTACGAGCTGGGAGGCCTCGGCATGAACTGAAAGCGTGCTGGTCTTAGGATGTTCCCCGTGTTCGAAAGGAGAGGAAAAGGACCAACAAGAACAGAGTGCAGACAGAAACACGCCATGTCGCCTGCATTTCAAAGCAGTAACGGGCTCAGGGACGTGGCTGTGAGCACCGTGTGGAGGCTGAGGCCGCGCTGGACCAAAGAGCTCCTGTGTGTGGGTGATTGACAGTCACTCAGGATACGTCACTCACTGAAAATAACAGGGACTGCCGCCTGCTCACAGGAACAGCAGAGTTTGTGGAAGCCACTGCTGTTTCCAAGAAACCTTTGTGAGCAAGTGGCCCGGCTCCGCCTGCAGGCCTGTCCTCCCGTCCGGCTCCTGCGCTGCCCGGCCGGCGAGCCGGAGTCAGCGACTGTGCGGCCCCGGTGGGTCTGTGTGGACCTGCCGTCGGCCCGCACCCTCGAGGGAGCGTGAGCAACGGCTGATGGCAGCTCCCAGCTCCTGGCGCCTGGTCCTCCTGGGAAGCAGCATCCCGGGTTTGAGGACAGAGGCAGGACATGCCTGGGATAGCTCGTTTGCTCTCCCACCGTTCGCTCAGGCATAGTCCAGTCTGTTCACAGCCATGGGGGCCTCCGGGCTCACCCCACTTGACAGTAAGCCCAGGATGGCCAAGAGGCAGCCCAGCGTGCTCGGGGGCCCTCCCCAGCCACCACACCCATCGAAGGGCTCTCGCCTCTCCGGTCCCACTGGGACATGCTGCCGGACCAGAGGCCAGGAGACAGGGCTGGGGGCTGGAGGAGGTTGGCCAGGAAGGCGCTGCTGCCTGTGGTGGTAGAATGCCCCTCTTCAGGATCATGCCTGAGGGGGTTCTTAGGACACGGGACAGGGAAGTGCCCCACTATTTGCTGTGCTCAGAGAGGGGCATAGGAGAGTTCTGGGGCATGTAGCCCGTGGTCCTTGGTCTGGGCTGGGCGTGGGTGGGGAGCCCAGCTATAGGGACTAGGCTTCCTTTGTGGGTCCTGACTCTGCTGCAAAGCACTCTGACCCTCAGGCTCCTCTTCTGCAAACCAGGACGCTCTGTCTTGTCTCCTGCCGAGGACTGAGTGCTAGTGCTCTCTGGGTCTTGGTGGTGGGGACACAGTGACCTCCAAGGCTTCGGGAGGAGGGACTGGAGGGGATGGAAAAGACACTTTTCGGGGTTCTGTTCTTCAGAGTGCTTGGTATACGTCCACACTGACTCGGGCCCCTTCCTGTAAGTCACTGTGCTCAGTCACCCCCGAGGTAGTGTCAGAGGATGAGGCCCAGGGTGTGGCTGTAAGCCAGAACTGTGCACCCCCACACTCCTGTCTGCACCCCACGCTCCCTGCCTGCTCCCCTCCCCTGTGACTCTAACAGCTATGGGGGACATCGCTGTCCCCCGGCCCCCGACCTTAGCGCCTGCCGTAGGTCTGATGAGTGTAAGTACAGAGTGGACTCTGCAGGCCCACCTCAGGATGGCTGCAGCGTGTAAAGGTGTCCGATGGTGAGCCTTGGGCAGCTGTGCAGGCCTTCCGCGTGGGGAGTGGGTGGTGCTGCTCAGATGGCCTCAGGGGTGTGGGTTTCCAGGAGCCTGAGTTGTGAGTTGCTGAGGACAGGCCTGGCACACAGGGACGCTGGGTGAGCAGTGTCATCCTCCTATCGCCAGCTTGGCCCTGCCGTGGAGCCCAGACCCAGGATAGACGCTGTGCGTCTATCTGGACCCGATGACCTTGGAGGACCTGTTGTGTGGCTTCTGGCCCAGCGGCCTCTAGGCCCGGCCTGACCAGGCTCTTGCAGGGCCCTCCCTGGGAGTGGCACAGCCCGACGTGGGTGGGGTGAGGGTGGGGACAGGCCGGCTTCGCAGCACAGACTCAGGCCTGTGTCTGGCTTCCTGGGGGGATTAAGTGCCAGTCACACAGGCACACACTTGTCTGCTCACCCCTTCAGCAGACATCCACCCCGGCCGTTCCCGCCAGACACCACAGACCGCACACTGCTTCCCCAGGGCGGCTCCGTCCTGCAGGCTGAGCTTCCCAGCCTCCGCCCGGTCCCCCTCTCTGCACCTTCCCTGCACCCATCTGGGCCAGGGCACTCCCAGGAGTCTTCCTGGTGCCCCCCTCAGGTCTGGGAGGAGTGCCTGGTCATGGCCAGGAGCTGGACTGGTGTAGGCAGAGGGTTTGCCTTGGGTAAGCCGTGTCCAGAGTTGTTAAGACTGGACAGACTGGCTGCGCTGCCAAAGCCACCATCTGCTCCTCGCCCACCTCCCTCCAGCTCGGCTCCCTCTGGCTCAGGTTGCTCAGAGCACCCCTGACCCATGGGGAACCCCAAGTCCCAGGCTTACACCCCCTCTGCAGTTCAGGATCTGGGAGGTGTCGAGCAAGGGAGCCCCAGGGGGGGCCTTGCCTGCAGCCTCGCTCAGTAACCATGCCCCCTCTGACCTAGCTGGGGGTCGAGAAGCCCAGGGCTCTGACCAAGCGTGGCCGTGGCCTCCAGCTCCGCACCTCCGAGGAGGCCGGGCCACACTCGGCCACAGAGCTGGGTGGTGCCGTCCTGGCCGTGAACCTGATGCATCCGCCGCCCGGGAACACTGGTCTGTCCGTGCCGCGACTCATTCACGGTGGAAGTCAGGACTTGAGCAAGCATGGCGCCGTGGGGGTTTCCGAAAATGCCCGTCCTTCGTCAGAGAACACAGGCAGAAAAGGCCAGAACAGGCTTTGTTTCAGTCGCATGAGTGCCCCGTGGCCTCCACGGGTTCTGAGCCTTTAAGCAAAGCCACAGGAGACAAAGGCAGCCGTGCCCCGGCTCCTGGTGTGAGCGAGGGCGAGGTCCTGAGCGCCTTCGAGGTTGGAGCCGAACAGCCCGGCGGCCGGACCTGACGCAGGGCAGCCAAAGGCTGGCTCAAGTTCGGGTTTTTCCGAGAAAACTGCGAGCCGTGCGCAGAGCAGGAGGCCATGTTGCGAGGTGGCTCTGTCCGACGGTCTGTACCGTCTTCAGTGCCCGGCTCAGTGGTCTTAGGTCAGTCCCACTGCTGGGCACTGTCAGCACCACCAACCCGTCGCGAGTGGCAATTCTTTCTGCTCGTGACCTTGTCCGACGCTCACTTCCCTCCTCTGCCCGGCGGGGCACCCCCTCTGCCCGCGTGAGTGGGACCTTACAGTGTTTGCCCTTCGAGACCTGAAGACTGATGCACCCGTGTGGTAGCCGGCATGTCCTTCCTCTCTGAGGCTGACGGCAGCCCATTGCACGGAGGGCCACGTTTGCTCATCTATTCATCCGTCCACCGACACGCGGGGTGCTCCATGTTTGTGACCACGGGCGCACAAAGATCTTTCCCGACCCGCTTCAGTTCTGTGGGGGCACCAGGAGTGGAGTCGCTGGGTCATAGGGTGGCTGTACCTTCCCTTCTTTGAGGAGCCTCCGTGGCTGTGTCATTTTGCATCCCCACCCACAGTGTACAGAGTCCCAGTGTCTCCACTTCCCCGGCAGCAATGAGGTGGCTGCATTTACCCAGGCTGGCTGCCCTGCTCTGTGCAGCCTTCGTGGTGAAAACCAGGAATAGCCTGTCTGTCTGTCCCGGACGGAAAGGGCTGGGCTGGAGCCCGTTCCCAGCGCATTCCCAGAAAGTGCCGCTCGGACCTGTCCTGTGGTTTCTGGGAAGACCTGCTTGTAGGCCGCTGTACTCACTTGGCTCAGGGCTCCCCCAGCATGAAAGCTTTTCCCCAGGAGACACAGCCTGGGCATGGCCCCTCGCCAGCTCCCCCTCCTGCGGGCTGGGGGGGCTGGTCCGAACCCCTGGAGGGGAGGGCGGGCGGAGGGCCTGTCCCTGGCTGTGGGAGCAGCGGGCCCTGCGGTGCAGGAGCA